TACAATTTGATAAATAATATAAGCACAATTACAGTAGCACACTTAAGACAAGTCTCTTTACAGGGTATCTACTAGTCGCTTGGTGTATATTTGCTTCTTTTTTGTGCCGTTTATGCCTAGGATGTGCGTTGTAGATGCAGCTGTCGCTGCGGCTCTGACTACACACGCACACACACACACGCGCACATACACACACTCTCAAACAGATGCACACGCACACAGAAGCCAGCGACCACACATAGCTGAAGTCTGTGCCATAGCTAAAGGATTTTTATGGTTTTTCAATTGGTTCACGTTTTTTTTTTCGGCATGTTTTGTTTTTTTTTTTTATCACAGTGTAGGCAGCTGTCAGGCGTTGGCAGCGTTTCGCATTCGCGTGGGGCATTCATTAGGGGAACGCAGCATGAAATTCTGGCTAAAAGCAAAACTCGATGCCGCTAGCTGCGTCTGCCTCTGCCTGGTGCCTGCTGTCTGTCGGCTGCCGGCTGCCGGCTGCTGTTGCCTGGGTTGGTGTTGCCAAGAAAACAAAAGCACAAAAACAAATATACTGGAAGCAGCCATGCAGCAACAGCCTTGAGTGATAACATCATCATGTGTTCGCTATGTGAGTGTGTGCGACTCTATGTGTGTATGTGTGTGCGTGAGTGTGTATGTGTGTGCGAGCAGCGAAGCATGCAGGCAACATGCCATGCCAAGGAGCAAGCGATGAAACCCAGAAACTGCAGCAACAACAGCAGCAACAGCAGCAACAACAGCAGCAACAACCACAGCAACAACAACCACAGCAACAACAAAAACAGCACGGCAACAACAACAAGAGCAATACGAAACCTTGGCAACCAAAAAAAGACGTAGACAAAGAACAAGGCAACCCGACAATGGGACAAAAGTTGAAGCGAAACGCAGGCAACGGCGGCTAAGATTAAATCAGGTACGAAATTTTTGTTTGAGTGGTAAAAATATTTTTTGCACCTGCCGTTAGCCAGCAGCCGGTTGGCATTGCTCAGCTGTTGTTGTTGTTGTCATCCAGATGATTAGTGCGCAGCCTTCAAGCTGCGACTGCGCAGATACTTTTTTGGTTAACTGTAGACGGGCGCATCGCGTGCGTTTTGTATTTTATTTTCTTTTTTTTACTTTTTGCCTTTGAAACCAGAAACCTGTCCACGCACATTGCAGCTTGTATCGAGGCGTTGCCGGGCCCAAATTGGTCAACAAACTGTGCGCGTGTTCCACTGTGCGTGTGTGTTTGTGCGTGTCCGGCTGTGTGTGTGAGTTGTGCCTGCCTGCATGTTTATATGCAAAGAATCAACAGTCGTCTCTGGGCGTTTTACCCTCATCAAAACAAGCACACTAAACAGTCGAGAACAGCTCCGAAAACACCTGCGCTAATTTGCGCGCACCTTTTGCCAGGCATTGATTGTTATTTTAATTGCGATAAACGGCATAAATATTTAAATTGCAAATTATAGGCAAGCATATTTAGCCGGATTTAAGGATGATTTTATTTTATTTATTTTATTTATTCTACAATTTTTGTATAATTATTAAAACTATATAAAATATTTTTTGCATTTTTCATTTGATTAGTTATTATTGAGATTGAAGAAATCTGTTTCCCTACAAAGCAAAAGAGACCGATGCGATATAACATATATTTCTCCAACAGATGCCTTATACACATAGAGTACTCTATGTTTTACCCAATTTATATATTATGCATAAGATATTATAATTTTATTTTTAAATATGTGCAAGGAGGCAAACTTTACTTCATAAAGTATACATATTTCTTCTTATGTATATGTAGAAAGCAATCTTAAGAGTTGTCCGTAGTAACATTTTTTATTTCATATTTTGTTTTACTTTTTTTTAAATAAAAACAATAAAAAACAATAAAAAAAAAAATTAAATCTTTTATTTTCCATTAAGTGACGGCAACATTTAAACATTATTTACATTTAAATGCATTTTTAGTTTAAAATTTAATTTAATAGGTCTGCTTTGAAGCATTTTCCAAACAATAAAACTAAATGCATGAATATTAATATTTATTTGAGGCAACATCTGCTGACTGTCAGCTGTGAATACATGCTGAGGTAGCTTGTATAAAATTCTAAAACACTCAAATGTAAAAGTACTCGCAACCTCGAAGTGGAGCGTTAATGGCTTAAATGCAACGACAATAACAGCAGCAGCAGCAGCAGCAGCAGCAGCAGCAGCAGGGGCAAGCTGGCAGAAGGCAGACGGCAGAAGGTTTACTTCCAGGCCATTAGCTTAATATGGTCTGACCATAACGTGAACCGCATAAGGCAGAGAGACAACGCCATAAAAACCAGCAATAACAATAACAATATAAACAGACAGCAGCAACAACAACAAATGCAAGAAGCAGGCGACAATGAAATGGTAAAAAGCACGCAGAGCGCAATGCAAATGGAAGCAGTTGCAAGTTGCAAGTCGCCGCGTTGCAAGCTGCAGAGTTGAAAGGGCAGAACCACCACCATCACCACCGCCACGCCCATGTGTAGGGGGTTAGCGTTCCTGGCTGGGTATATTGGGATGTGGGGAATTGCCGGATGCGCTGTTAGCCGCACGAGTTGCCTGCATTAATGCGATGTGCAACAAGCTAGAACACCGCGCCGCAAATTGACAACAAAACAAAAGGCAACAGAAATTAAAAATAAAGTAGGGAAAACTAAACTGCATGCAACGCTCAAAATATATGCAAACAGCAGCAATAATAGCAACAACAACAGCAGCAACAGCAACAACAACAACTCATGTGGCAATGGCAGTTGATTATAAGCCCATTGATGTAGCTGGTCAGCACTCTGACCCTCAACTTTGCCCCCGCCCAACAGACGCTGCATTCAAAAATAAAAGCGAAAATATTGCAAATTGCAATACACAAGCGCAGACAAAATGGCAACAATGCCAGCGGAAGAGTGAGAGGAGGTGTAGTGCAGGAGCAGAGGTGGCAACTGTTGCAACCGGCCAACACGACACGGCCATCAACTTCACCCCGCCCCGCTGTCCGCCCCGCATCCGCCTTTGGCTGTGTGCAGCGAAGCGCACCACCCAGAACGGGTTGGTTTTTTGGGTTCACCCGGCGTCCGTCCAGCTGCCCCAGCCTGCCCCCGCCAGCACCCGGCTGCTCCTTGGTGGTTTATAGGTGCGCGCACCCGTCACATGGCTACCGAATGCGCCATTTTTGGCATATTCCATTCTGGCCCAGCACAAATGCTGAAAATTCCACACCAACTCTGGCCAACAATGCAGCTAAATAAACTTCATTCAGTTGCGTTTTTTTTTTTTTTTTTGGTTAAGCTGTTTTAGCTTTTAGTTTTACCCAAATGACTTGTAGTTTTTGCTTTCTGCATTCAAAAAGTTGCGCTTGGCAAAAGCTCGAAAATATTCGCCAATAGACGTGAAAAATTGTTTTTTGAGCAACTGCAGAAGATGCAGATAAAGATATAACATTGAGAAGTCGAAGAATAAAGTATTTCTAACGTAAATCGAGAAAGGGCGCGCTTAAGGAAGTGCACAAGAATTAATTAACAAACCTAGGGTAGAAAAATATTCCAAATGTATCAAAGTCACACTCAAAACATCTGAGAATCATGCGGTAAACGTGTAGCATAAGTTTTCTGAATTTTAACAGGTTTGCAGAACAACAACTTTAAAAGCATTAGAGCTAGGTTGGATTGCTTGACCCGGACATCGAGCTTACCCGCAGGCCCTTCTTGGGGCCAGATGGTGTGGGTAGTGGGAGGGCGTTAATTTGGGTGTCTGCTGCGTCAGGAGACATGAAGTTTCGAAACCCAACTCGTGAACTTTTAAATTCATCAGTTAGATAAAATGAAGTACCTATTTTACCATAGCAAAAATATATTTTTCCTTAAACCTGTGTGTTCGAATGGCAGCTTGAATATGTCAAGGTAAACTATAAATTTATATAAACATTTTGTTGATATTAAATTGATTTCTAAAAATTAAATTGAAATGCCAAAAGATATCCTTTTCATATCAAATCGCCATGTAAACAATATCATTCGTTTGTTACCTGCTTTAAAGCACCTAAGAATGATATAGTAGAGCAAGTGCGACTAGAAGATACTCTATACATAACTTTAAGAATGCGTATTATTTTAAACTTGAATAAAAATCTAGTCCTGGTATTTCGATACTTTTTATACAAGTGCAGTTTTTGAGAAAAACGATTAGAATTCAATTATTATGAAGTAAAAGATAAAAACCTACTTTTATCTACAGATACCCCTTATGGATACCCTTATTTTTCAAGTATATTCAACATTTACACGCGCTCACACACGTTTAAACTCACCTGGTCGAGCACTTGAGCGTTGCTGTTCATAAGGTCTACCATCTGCTGCTGCTGCTGTTGCTTGTTGATTCACCGCAGGCGCGCCATGTGCCAGAAGGATATGCAGAAGGATATAAAACAGAAGACTACACACACACACTCTAAGACACACTCCAGAGTCGAAGAAAACTGCAAAGAAAATAAGGTGAAACACGTGAGATTGTGGCAGAGCAAAGGTTAAGTAAATATATTAAACATAATTGTTTATCATAACAACAATTATTATCAATTACCGATAATTCTGCGCTGCTTACAAAACAGACGCCAATAGTTGCCATAGTTGCAGGCAATCAAGAGCGTGCGAGCTAAGCAAATGCGCTCTTAAATATGTGCCGACTCGCTCTCGCTCTTGCCTTCGCATTTGGCGCTCTCTTAGCATTGGTCGAGTTGTTCCTGGTGGGACAACCTGTTTTGACTGCTTGTTGCATGCTCTTCAACTACGCACGAAGCATTCGCACTTTGCGCGCTCTCTCGCTCTCTGTCTTTCGCTCTGTCCGTCTCTCTTTTGTGTTGAGCGTCGCCGCAACGCGTCGGCACCGGCTGGCGGGCTATAAAAAGGATGCAGCTGCTGCCCGCCGCTTTAGTCCTATGACAAACGTCGCGCCGATTGCTTCGTACGCAGCTAGCTGCAGCCAATCAAGTGAAAGTCAGACAAACTGTTTTTCAAAAGGAAGTTAAGTCGTGTTGTCTTAGTGTGTGTGCGTGCGTGCGTGTGTTTTTGTGTTGTGCGCTTAAAGCCGCTTAGCGAAGGAGGCGGCGGCGAATAACAAAACAGCAGCGCGAGCTAAACAAAACGTGCGGCAAGCAGCACAAGAAAAGGCGCCGCGCATAATTCAAATATTGTTAGCGCCGCATTTTATAAGGTGGTCCGTCATGAAACGTGGCCAACATTTGCATAAATAATCCATGCCACAAAAATACTAAAGACTGTGCCACCAAAAATTCAAACTTGAATTTAAAGTAAAGCCAAATAAAATTGTACTTAAATACGCAGCTCTTTTGTGCCGCTACAGAATGTTGCGTTTGATACTCTTGATCGTCTCGTTGGCGGTGGCAAGCGCGCGTGGCGCCACAAGCGGCGTCATCAGCGACGTGAACAACATGTTGCGCGATGCCAAGGCAAGCAGCTCGGCTCCAGTTGCAGCTGCAGCTGCAACATTGCCACCATCCAGCGTTGAGCTGCTGCGCTTTGTCGACGATGAGGATAATGAGGAGGGGCTGGAGATGCTCTCGAATGGCGTTCAGTTAGGTGGCAACAAGGGGCAGGACGAGGAGCAGGATGTGCCGCATAATCTGAAGCTGGGCGATCAGGTGCGCCTGCTGACCAAGCAATTGAATGCGCTGATGATGCGTCGGCGCGAGGATTACGAATTGCTGGAACATAATTTACGTAAATCCCTGCGGCTCACCACGGATGCGGCCAGCGTCGATGCGGATATGCGCAGCGAATTGGATCAATTGAGGTGAGTTGCAAAGTGATAGCTTTATTGCAGGCAAAACTTTCTTCCCTTTCTTCTTCTTCCATTTTCTTGCATTATTTTGTAGCATATTTTTTATGCTGACCCACAATTCGTTTGCGACTTGCAACAACTTGCAGCTGGCAACTTGAGCTGTTACTTGGCCCAACTTGGCTTAACTTCCAGCTAAAGTTGTTCAGCAAAAACTTTTTCCGACTCGTAATGTTGTCTGTCACAGGCAGGCGAACTGCTAGGCCAGGGGCGTGCATTTATTTAGTGGGCGTGTCTCCGCTAATTTTTACAGCACATGTGCGAGTCTTGTGCGGACGCGGGCAGCCAATTTGGCAGCGCCTTGAATTAGGCAACACTTTTGCGCCTCGCTGAATTTTCTTTTGTTTCCTTTCTTTTAATACACTAACCGAGTGTATTGTTAGTTTGTCAGGCATTTTGTCGAGCGTTTAAAGTAGCTGCATTAAGCTTAATTTTGCGTATGTCACATATACAGCCATGGCCATACAAATAGCACAAGATAACTTAGCAAAAAAATATTTAATTTTTTTTCCGTTTAAAATTAATTAACGATCCCAAAATAAAGCAAGGCTTTTAGGCCTAGTTAGTAACTGAATTAAGCCAAACATAAAAAAGAAACATTTTATGCAAGGCAATGGGAAAATGTGAAAAAGATGGTTCAAAATACTTTGGTCATAAGAAAAGGAACTTAAATATTTTAGAAAATATCTTTATAATTTTTTACTCTTCAATAAATACTGAATTTGCAACAACTGCTCAGATATGCGCATATATTTATATAAATAAAGACTTAAATATAAAATAATAAATAAATATTTAACTATAAATAAATATTTAAATATAAATTTATGAAACTTAATAGAAATGCTTCTTTTTGCTATAGAAAACACATATCTTAGAAGAGGTCCGATCTAAACGATATAGAGCTAACATACTCAGTCTAGGCAGAAGTTTAATAAAAAATATATGAACTAAACTCACTAAAAGCAAAATTTATAATTCTTAACATCTCAGCAACATTATTAGCTAAGTAGGTAAGTAAATGTATAAGAACATTTATTTCTTCAGATATCTTGAACTTATTTGCAAGGAGCTCAAAACCCTTCAGGATCAGCTACAATATCAGAGAAAAATCGGATATTTTCTAATTAAAATCTTGTTTTATGAAATCTTAAACCTAATTAAAATGTAATCTAAATCGCTAAATTAATATTACCGCATTATTTGTAAGTCCCATCTGCCAAGTGTGTGCAAGGGCATTTGAAGCTTCGGTGCCATTTCTGGCTTTGCTTTATTTGTATTTGTCGCAAGTTAATTTAAACAAATAAGAAACTGTCCAAAATCCAGTTCCTTAAGCAGCTTAACATTTGATAAGAAATCGCTGGGCGGGCGGCACGTAGATGATTTCTGATTTCCAGGCCTAGGCCCAGCCAAGCCCCGAGTTTCTTTGTGATTTGTTTGTTGTTGTCTTTGCAGACTGGCTGACTAATAATGATTGTCTCATCGACAGACACACGCACATACACGCACACACTCACGCACACACACCGCTGTTGATCTAGAGCAAAGGCCAACAAAAATGGCGCTCACTTAATTTACTGTACAAATAGCTTTGGTTAGTTTCGCAGTTTTTTTGTTGCTGTTTGCTCATGTCGTGAACGTCGTAAACTTTGTCACTGACACCGTAAATAATTCAACACACGCGTGTGTGCTGACACACACACACGCACACACACTTGCAGCCATAAGCAGCAAGTCGCCAGGGCCAGTCAAACGTCATGTCAACTATGGTTTATGTGATTCCAGTGCCCCACCATTCACGCCCCACCAAGTCGTTATTTGATTGCGGCACGAGCCAGGCCTCTGTGCAGGGACATATGTATGGATTGGGGGGGGTGAAGAGGGGTGCAGGGGTGCAGCTCCTACTGCTGTGATCCATTTAACTGGCTGCCATTTGCCGCTACTGATTTGGTCTAAATTTGATGAGGCATTCAGCGCATTTCCCATTGCAGCTTCCATTTGATAATTAAAATGTGCGCGCAGCGCTCACAATTTTCCCTCACACATTTTCTTCAGCGCCAGTCGTCCTCTTTTTCTTTTTTTTTTGTCTGCGTATTTTCAATTTGCCTCATGTCATTGACAGCATTTCCAATTTTTACTTGAATGACGTGTGCTGCGCTCACTTCTTTATTCTATTTGGCTTTCAACGTTGTTTACAAAAGGTGCAAAAAATAAAAGAACACAACAAAAATATACTGTTGCAGCCAGGCGAAAAATTGTGCAAATTTCGTAGTTGCTTTTGTGTGATGCGTAGAGCAGCTTTTTCTTTTTATTTTTATTTTCATTTTAGTTTTACTATCAAATGCTTAGATAAATTGAGCTTTGACATGTAAACGAGCCAACGAATGTTGCCCAAAAATTGGTTGTGCAGCAAATTCAAAATGCATAGTAATAAATTGAAATATATTTTAAGAGTTTTAGTTTTTGGTTTTTGAACCTTGGCATAAATTAAATTTTGTTTTGTAACAATTGTGTGTAGTCGATCAGGTCTTGCTCATAAGAGAATAATACTTTTCAAGGTTTTTATTTTTAACCAGAAATTAGAATTTTTAAATATATTTTTAGGCACTGAATTTGATGATTATGATTATTTTTTCAATTTTTATGTAGAACAAGAAAAAATTTAGAAAATTAAAGCCAAGTCAAACGAAAATATTTACATGAATATTTATTTAAAAGAAGTGCAAAAATTTTAAGAAACTTTCATTTGTTATATCTCCACAAAAAAGAATATTTTCCTCACATATAATAATATTTGGCCTTGCATATGAAAACATTTGAAAAAAGATTTTTCCTTCAAATATAATAATATTTGGCTTTCCATTTGGAAACATTTAAATATAAATTTTGTCCGAACCAACTTAAAAAGGTTAAGAAAATGTTAAATGTTCTTTTGCATATGAAGTTGATTCTTTTCGATAACCCGACCGGCCATAAATACTCACAAGCGAGCACAACTAACTAACTTATCTTATTAATAATCTAATAATTGCCAACAGTTTAAAAACAAGTAGCAAATTTTTTAATTAAATACTCCCCTACTTAAATAATTATAAAAACTAACCAACTTTTTGCTCGCTCAAGTCAGCTGTAACTGAGCGTGTAGTTAAAAACCAGAAAAACTTCTCAAGTCCTCAAATTTACAGTGCCCACAAACACACACACACACACACATGCACACGCACACAGATGCACGCGTGCATAAGTCAGCCGCACGCAAATTGAAATATTACGTATACGCAACATTGCCAACCAAAATGTTGTAGGAAGAAAAAGTTTTTTATGAAAATTTCATGTAGCTTTGCTCTTTTGACAGTGAAAAATAAAATAGCAGTAGGAGCCGCAGTCGCAGTAGGGGCAGCAGTAGCAGCAGCTGTGGCAGCAGCCTCTGAAAAAAAAGTTTTCTTTGTGATGGAGTGGGGAGCAGCAGAACTTGAAAGATCTCTGCCCCTACCCCACTCGTCCCTTCAGCTCGCTCTCTCACGTTCTTCTCACTTTGCAAGTGGTTGCCTTCAGCTGTTCCGACTGACTACTTTAATTGTCTGAAATGCCACAAAAATGCGCTCAAGCTTTGAGGCTGGCGCCTGCCAACTGCCACAAGTGCTAAAACATTTTCATTTTCCGCTGTTTTTGTTTGTTTTGTTTTTTCTGGGCTAAGCAAAATTTATTTTGCTACACTTAAACAATATTTTCTCATGCTCTCGCACTTGTTGTTGATGTTTCTTGTTTTTCGGTTTTTCGTTTGCAAAGTGGTGGCAAAGTTTTATATGTTTTTTCCCCCCTCCTTCGTTTGGCGAATTGCAGTTGACTCTGACTGTGATTTCTATGTGCGTGCGTGTGAAATTGTTTTGGCAGTTATTTGGCGAGTGTTGCAAGAGCTTTGCCTAGGCACGAGCTTAATGCAAAGGATTAAGCAACGCCATTAAACGTGCCTAATTGAAAAACTGCATGAAAATGACGCTGCTTTTTCATGTAAGCCTCACGCCCGAATCCCATTAACACGCTGCTTTTGGACACACAGGCAATTAAGCCATCCGCTAGCCAGAAAATGTCAATTTAAATTAGATTCTGCCAGCGCGGCACCACAGCGCACGTTGCCCGTTTCAAAGTCAATTAAAATGTTACGCATACGCCGTGTGTTCGCGCGCACGAGCTGCATATTCATGCCGTCGCCGTCGCCCCCGCCGCCGTTGCGGCCCACCAGCTGTCTGGCTAATTAAACAAGCCAACTACAAAATACGTTTGGACGGTTTAAAAAATATGCTAATTCTCTTTTTGCTGCTCTCTTTACATGTTTTTTTTTGTTGCATATAACAGACGCGAGATGCAAACGCTGCGCGCCACGCACAGCGGCAACAAGGAGCGCCTGACCGTCGAGTGGCTGCAGCAGTCGATATCGGAGATACGCAAACAGCTGGTGGAGCTGCAGCGCACCGCCGCCAACGTCGCGAAGGATGTACGACACGAGGGCACCGCCTACGAGGATCTGGCAACAATACGCAACGATTATCAGCAACTAAAACTCGAGCTGGCTGCCCAGCGGGAGCGGCAACAGCAAACCGAGGTGATTGTGCAGGAGCTGCGCGAGGAGCTGCTGCAGCAGGAGCAGGAATACAAGCACGAGCTGAACAGGCAGCTAAATGCTAAAGCCAATGCCAAAGCCAATACCAATGCCAATGCAATTGTCAAGCAGCAGACACTAGAGCAGTCGGCCAGCATTGAGGAGAATAGCAGCAGTCAGGAAGCTAGCCAAGAGGTGAGTAAACACACACTTGCCAACATACTGTAGTACCTGACTGTCGGCCAACTTTATGCTAATGATCAGATAAGCACGCACTCGCACACACACACACGTACGCTCAGGTGGTGTGCTTCAGCTTTTATGGCTATGAAATGTTGCTTTTGTTGCTGCCGTTTTAAGTGCGCTCATAAAGCGACCCGTCGCGCCGGCAGCCAGCGGCCTGGTCTCTGCCTCCCCATTGCCATTATCTGCCCATTTTATGCCTTATTTTATACCTGACTGCCAAAGCCATTGTTTTTTTGTTTTGTGGGGGCGACTCTCGTTTTTAGTAGGCGCCATCTGAGACACGATGTGCTAACGAGCCGAGTGCCCAAGCCGAGTGGAGTACTCTCTCTCTCTCTGTGTGCTTGTGTATGTTCTTACTTTTTAATGGCGCCTCATATGCTGCTTAAATTACTCATACGCACCGCAGGACGTCAACATATTTAATATTTAATGCTAACGCCTCGCCCCGGGCAGCCACTTAGACTACACAGACTACAGTCCCCAATGTTAACCGCTCCTGTCTTCCCGGCCTAACTGAATCATTAACATTAAGGTCAGGCAAATCGCAGACAGCACAGACTGAGCAACAACATGCTAACAACTTTTAATTATAATTAAAGTCAATAAAATGCGCAAGGCAAAGTGAAAGTTAAATTAAATGTTCAAGGGCATGCGGACGAATACCCTGTAGCTAAAAAGCAGTAGTCATAAAAAATGATGCTCAAGCATGCGATGCAAATTGGCAAAAGGTTGGCACTTTTGGCATTAAGTCGTAAACAGTGTTGTAAACTAGTTTAAAAAAGTCGCTTGACGTATTACGCAACATAATGCAGCTGCTGGCATCAAATGTAAATAGTGTTGCAAAGTGGAAAAAACGCTTTAACAGTGCAATAAGAGTTCAGTGCTGTCTAATTTATATGTTAAACAGCAAAAAGTTAGTTTTTGTAAATTACTCAACACTATAGTTGCAAATGCTACGATAAACATTCTTCCAAGTTTTGCGAAAGTGAAATAAATATTTGGGATTGTTTCTCAAAGTTCAGCCAATAAAAAAATTCAAATTATGCCCAAAAAATGTCATTTTTTTCGAAGACTTTGCTTGCACAGAAAGTTTAGTTTCTGTTTTATCAAATAGTTTTAGGATAAAATAGTTTTGTAAAAATTTGCTTAAAAAGCTAAGCTTTTCATGTAAGGCGTCAAATGTTGCTTTATTTCGAGATGTATTTTATATTAGGCCAAAATATAAAAGCTTAAAGCGCGACTCACTTGAAGCTTTGCTTACAGCACTTTTCATGTATTCACAGCACTTTAACAAGTCTTTCAAGTTGCCTTGTTTTTGATTAACTAAAAAGCCGATCTTTTGACCAAGCACATCAAATTTTGAGCCAAGCGAAACTTTTTCTTTCAGTTTTTTCTTGTACATTTTGCAAACAAGCTAAAGAGATATTTGAGCGCAACCAACAGGTAAAGCCGCAAAATGTGTCCCAGAGATGGGCGGACAAAATGCGAGCGTTGCATAAAATAAAAACACAACAAAAATGGAGTCAACACGTTGCGGTTGGTTGTAACCGACTGCTTAATGCCCGTACACAGCCCAATAACAGCTTCAAAGAGACAGCTTGTCAAATTTATGAAAATAAATTTAATTTTTTTCGATTTAGAGTGCTTTAGAGGAGTCTATCAACAGTATGGTCATTCTCTAGCCTCAAAACTGTGAAAGATATAGTTTTTCCTGATATGGAAACCAGACATATTCCAAATTTAAAGTCTCTAGCCTCCATAGGTCTGTTACGTCCACAAAATCAGTAAGCTCTCTTCATTTTGTAAGCGAGTATAACAATGCTAAAAAATTGGAACGTTGTGTGCTTCATTAAAAGGATTAAGTGACGCCCATATTCATGCGGTTGCCACAAAAAGTATGCAAAAAATAAAAATAAAAAACTGGTTTAAAACCACCTGTTTTCTGGTTGCCCCTCTTCAGCACTCCTCGGGCCGCTCGTCAGTAATATTTTATACGTTACAAGTAGCTGCTGCCCTTTTGCTTTGAAGTTTTCGAACTGGTCACAGAAGATGCTTAGCCGAAAATTTGCTAGCTTTGGGTAGTAGCTGGCTGGCCCCCGCCGGCTCACCTCTTCCCAATGCTAGCTGATTGAAAAGTGAACCTCGTTGAGCACACAAAGCAATTACATTCACAAGCAGCCACTAAAAATTTTGACCACAAATTGCTTTAAAAAAATAAAATAAAAAAAAGGGCAAACAAAACCAATAAAACCGATGAAAACGATAAAACGTGCAGTCAGGCGGTTTAAGCGGCTTTCACAACAGACGCACTCGAATCTGTTGGAGTGCAGGCGAAAGCACACACACAAACAAACACACGCACACACACTCGGCATACACACATTAATATAATGTTAAAGGGCACGCCTCGTACTTTTTGTATATAGAATGAAATTGCTAAAAATTGCAAACAAAAAGCAGGAAATCACCTTTTAATCGCCCTCAGCGTTTCAGTAGCAAAGAGATAGGGAGATACAAAGAGGTGGAGTGCTGGGAGGGAGTGCGGTGGGGGGGAGGGGTGCAGAAATTGGTATATAACGCCAGCTGCGCTGTCAGAGACCAGTGACGGCTGCTGTCTTTTGTCTGGCCAACAACTTTGGGTCCCTAGCACAGGTCCCTATTTTGGCCAGCCAACAGCAGATGCTCTTGAGTGCCTTGATAATCAGTTTTATACATGTATTTGTTGTGTGTGAGTGTGTATGTGTGTATATGTGTGTGTGTTTGTGGTGTGTGTTGGTATGCGTTTATGATGCGCGCAATGCTTCAGCACAATTTGATCCTTTTCATTATTTTTTAGGTTTTTTTCTGTTGCTTTTGTTTTTGTTATTTATTTTGCTTATTTTTTATGCCACATTTCCCACCAAAGTTCACTCACTGACAGCGGCGCCCGAGCAGGGACCAACAGCAAAAACCTGTTGTTGTTGCTACCTCTAGACAAAAAAAAAAAAAAACAAAAGAAAAAGCAATTCTTAAAAATTGTTATTATAAAAGCGCAGCAAAGCAGAAATTAGGTTAAATTAGAACAAAGCGCATGGCACAACAATCAAATTGCGCAGGTGGCTGCGAAAATATGCATAAAAATAAATTTAACAAAAAAATTCTGTCAGTGTGTGTGTGTGTGTATGTGTATGGTTAAATTAAATCAGCTGTCTCTAATTTGATTAAAATTTTAAAAGAGACAAAACAAATAAAAGGAGAGCAAGTGGATTGCGCAAAAATGCTGCGCAAAACCCCAAGGGAATGCTTTGAAAGAACCAAATAAGAAGGAGCGCAAAGCTCACAATTGAATTTCAGTGTTGGTTAGCGCTATATAAAAACGAACATGCATATGTATATTGTTGGCGCATAAAGCGGAATTAAAATATTAAATGGGCTTTAAATGGTTAACAGATAGTTCACTAGTACAAATTTAAAATGTAAGCTTAGCTTATGATAAAATAGGAATAAATGAAATAAAACCAGCTTGCGCGCGAATTAACACTAAATTCAAGCAGTGTTGAAAAAGAATCAAATATTCATTCAGAATAATTGGCTTCAATTCATCAATAATTTAAAGCTTGAACTAGTTAAAATCGGCTTTAAAAAAAGCAGTTTCAAAACTGCTGAAAGTTAAGTTTAAAGAATTCTGCTCAAACTTTCAAATAAATTGTAACTGTTCTGCTTTTATTTATATTTATTTCATGATGAAAAAAGGACAAAAGTTCACAGACAATGACTGCGTCCCGCCCTAACTTTTGTACTAAGTAGTCAGCTTTTATAGACTTTCGGCCACTCGAAAACTGTCTATCAAGTTGCTTGAAGAACTTATTTAACTGATAAAAGAATGTATATCAAGACAACTTTAAAGTGGGGACAATATTTATTTGGGTATCGGGCATGGCAGGGGTTGCGGTAATTGCCAATCATTCTGACAGCTATGAGGGGCTGACTGAAAAAGCCTCTTCGGTTGCCGGTTTGCCGTTGTATATGTTTATTTGATGCTGCTGGCACTTAGTCGAATTGCCTGATACTAATTGAACTCGAATTGATGGCAAGACCTTTCAACTGGCCCGGGCCCAGACCAGGCTGTTGGCTACATCAAGCAGCGCCAGCTGCCAGTGACAAGTTGCCTGGCACGTAACTCGACCCTAAACTCCAAAAAAAAAAAATGATGTTCTAATTGCAATGTGTGCAGATTTATAACAAAGCGAAATGCTGTACTACGAGATGATAACAGACACACAAAGACTCGAACTCGAGCTCGAGCTCGAGCTGAAGGCTGGCATAACAAATCGCATGATGGAAGCTGTCACTAGCAACAGTTGAACGCAAATATTTATCATTGGTTATTGATGCGACTGTTGCCAGCATTGGGGCGTCCAAAGAAAAGCAAAAGCAAAAGCCCCAGCAGCAGTAGTGGCAACTGGCAATATATGGGTAAACATATATCGTGTATGAGAAACTTGCTGTTAAATTAGCCAGGCAAACAAATGCGGAACAGACACAAAACCAGGCACAGGGGCAGAAGGCAACAGCATCAGACAGCAGCAGCAGGCAGCAGACATCGGCAAGACAAGAGGATCCGGTTTCGGGCGCAAGAGACCAAAAAAAATTTATTTTTTTGGATTTATTAGGGTATCACTAGCAGAGGGTATACCATTAATGTGGCAAAGAAAGACAGTTACGAATGTGTTGAAACATATATATACATGATCAACATTAGGAGGATCAACATTCTCAAATTTGTAGATATAATATTGAATCAAATTTTTGCTGCGTGATATATAGATCTAAATAGGAACTATCAATGGAAAAAAAAGCAGTTCTATGATATTCTTGTATATTTTTTCCTAAGTTGTTAACAGTTAATAGAAATTCGATCTCTTTTATATCGCATATCAGAAAACAAATAATACATAAAAAATAAAAATAAATACAAAAAAATATTATTAATAAAAATCAATATAAATAAATAAAAACAAATACTTATGAATACAAATATAGGCAATAATATAATCAAAATCAATTAAATACTTATACACAAATAAAAGAAATTCAAAACACAAATATAAATATAATACAATAACAAATAAATAAATTTAAATACAAATAAATAGCAAATGAATTTGTCTAATCATTGCTAGCATATATTTATATATATTTAATCGCGCAATTTTCATATGTTTGATAGGGTATCTAGTGTTCATCAGCCCCAAAGCTATCTACTTTTCTCTCCTGTTACTTTTTGCATTTTTTTATTTTTGCTCTGGTTTGTTGTATTCCGTAGCACAAGAGTGAGCTCCAGCATTTTACCTTATTTATGTTGATATTTGTGCTGGCTTTTGTTTTATGTTACTTTCCTTGCCACCGATATCCACCTTCCAGCTACTGAGTTGCAGCTGGCAATTTGTTTGATTGTTGGAGTGCTTGTACTTTCTGGTTGCCATACATATTTTGTCTTTTCTGTTTTTCCTCATTTCGGGTCTACATTTACATAAATGTGCAGTGCTCGTAGTTGATATTTATTTTATGAGCGAAATTATCTTTATTGAAACTTGGCATACACTTGAGATTCATATGTGTGGCAGTGCGTCATGTTTCTATTATTGGGCGGGCGGTCGGGCTGCTAAGTTTCCCAAGCGGCGCAGCTTGTAAACATCTTTATTTATGTGTGTACATATTTGCATGCATGCATAAATTTATGTTTGCCTTGCTTTTGTGCTTGCTATTTGCTTGAACTTTGGTCTGTCAAATTTTTGGTTTATTTTAAAGCTTCTTGAGTTTTATAGAAACTCTTTTGATTAAAATTCGCAGTTCGAGAAGTGCGCGCGATATATTTGCGCATATTTAGTTTCAAATTATGCACACGTTTGCCATTTGGACACAAAAAAAATAAAATGAATTATATAAAAAATAAGAGGCAAACTGGCAGGCAACCAATGTTGGCACCTAAATGCGCATTAACTTAATGGCATTTTGTGGCACAGGCACACACACACACACACACGCCCTTATAGTCTCTGTGTGTGTGTGTGTGTGTGTGTAACTTTTTGAGCGGCACACAAAAGTCCTATTAAATTTTTACGACAATTCAGCGCGGAGCAGCAGCAGCAGCCGGCGAGGTTTTTTTCTATTTGCACTGCACACACACACGCTCACACATACACACACACACACTCCTTCACACAGACGCATAGAGCGCTGCTGCTCCATGGCTGCTGCTGCATAGCTGACGCTAATAGCAAATCCTTGTTAGCCTTCACTTGAGCACAACATGTAAAATTTCACTTTAATCCTTGCTGCGACCCAAGCGGTTTATGCATTTAATGTGTGTGTCTCTGTGTGTGAGTGTGTGCGTTTGTGTAAAGTGTGTGTGTCATGTGTGTGTGGCTTTGAAAATTAATTAGCCCAGCGGCTGCTCCTTTTGCCTGATTAGCATTTCTTAATTGTTATAACACACACACACACACTCGCACACACACACACGTATACACGTGCATAAAATATTTATGCTTCAATTTCGATTTCAATTAGCGCCGCTGTCACTTGCCACAAAATGTCTTTAAAATTGTTTATTTGGCCTCGTCCTTTGACTGTTTGTTAATTGGTAAACGTTAAGGCTGCCGGCAGAGTGGGCGAGGGGGCAGTGGACGTTAGCACATAAATCACATTTAATTATATTGTTGACGTCGCCACGCCGTAAATCGTGCAGCACCTATTTGATAGTCGCAGCCGACTTCCTGCATTGTTCAGCTATACATATATACACAGATAAATTTATATATATAGCAGTATATAGGTATACGTATGCATATATATTGGACTCACTGTCGAACGTGGCGTATTACCAATGTGCGTGACCTTTCACATAAAACAGCAAATGGCGCTTCCTCTTTTTTTTCACCATACACAACGTCCTTGCCAAGTGGCATTCCACACTCCCCCCACACCCCGCGGAAGTTCTTGCCCACCGTCAAGACGTGCGTTGAGGCAAAGCAAACACAGACAGCAGCTGAAAAATTTGGTTCAATCGCGCTTCGATTGGCAGCACAAGTTTCGCATACTCGCAAAATTCATATTTTTAGCAAAGATCTGAATAATTGAATTTAAAAACAGTGAAAGTGCTGAAAACATTTAAAAAAAAAATATTTTGCAAAATATTCCTGAGAATATTGTGACAAAATGTCAAACGCATTCGGGGTGACATTATCAAGTTTTTTTTGTTCATATATGTCTGGGAATTGGGACCCGATCATTATTAAGATAATTTTTAAACATTTTTCGCCTACATCTTTGGCCAACTCATGAAACATAGAACAACCAAAAATATATAATATATATTACTAATTTTAAACAACACAATGCGTAAGATAAACTTATAATAAAAGTAAATAAATAAATAAAAAATAATACTAATATTTTGAATAAAAAGTTAAAAGTGTCTACAGCAATTGAAAGAATGATTAAAAGCTCAACTGAACCACTTCCTCTTCAAACATTTTAAACTACTTCATGAGCTTGTGTTCGATTGCAAATACTTATCAATAATAATGCAGTTAAATGAAAGATGATCTAAATAAAAAAAGGTTTCAATTATTTGAAATACTAAAAAAAGTTTTCCATTTATAAACAATGCCAGTGAGAACTCGACAAAAAGCTATGTAAATGTTTGAATGATATATGGATTACAATTGATGATCCATTAATTAGAATCAAAAAACTAAACAACAAGTACAAAAAAGTCATCTATTAATAACAAAGAATTAATGGAGCTGCCTGCTTTGTTATTATAAATGAAACAAACAAAAAGCGAATTAAAAAGTTTTGATTTATAAGCTTGTAATCGACTTTTGTTCTCTTTCGCTCTCCATATACATCTATCTCTCTCTCTCTCCGTCTCTTGTTGCTATCGCAATAATTTTTATTTTGTTTTCATTTCTGTGTCGCATAATTAAACAGTGTGCAAAAAAGTAGCTATTCACGTCTTCACTTTTCACATTTCCTTCTCTTTTAATTCATTAGCAACATATTTCTTTTACTTTCGTATTTGAGAGTTGCTTTATTAGGCAATTATGAGAGACATTTGAATGGGGGGATGTACGAAAGCTCGGATGGAATACGAAATATTATAATTATTATTTTGCTTGTTTTAATGAAAGGCAAGCGAAGCGTGTAGGCTACATGAATGTATATAGCTATATCTGCTTGTATCTGTATTTATATCTGTATCTGCATGTGGATCTGTATGTGTATCTATATCTGCATACGTTTCAATGCTGCTGGCGTATTCATTACATTTGCATTCACAAATCACAAATGTGACCCAAATGACATTACCTTGGTTAACGCTTGTCACTCAGATAAATTATACTACTATATGGTGCTCTGCATCTAAGAAAAAACAAGAAAGAGTGCTGCAAAAGTGAGTGCACGACTAGCTAATACCCCTTAGTGCTGTCAGCAGTGCTCTTATGATCTTAATGTATATATCATTCAATCACAAACCACAATCTGGTTATCTATTAAACCTCACATTTTGTAAAATATTTGCTTTAAAAACTTTAAAATTTGTTTGCTATCCAAGATCCTTAATACCAAGTCTCTATTTATCATTGAGATAAAAGATTAATATATTTTTAATTATTTATTTATTTAAAATAATAAAATAAAAATTCCTAGAAAAGAATCGAATAGATTTTTATACGTTTTCTTATGCCTGTTAAGAACCTAATATACCCTACATACAAACTTTTTGTGGGTATTGGGTATAAAAAAACATAAATGAACTTGTGTGACGCTTACATAGACAGCTGCCAAGTTGCCTTAGGTTAATGTCCATGTGTGTGTGTCCGTGGGCGTGTCTATACACACAGAGCCACACACACATAAACACTCGCACACCCACAAGCACACTCAACGCCAGGGATTTAGCGAGTTGCTGTCGCTGACATTATTGTTGTACACGCCTTTCATCCTCGTAAGTCCTAAATGTGCATGTGTGTGTGTATGTGTGTGTGTGTGTGTGTGTGTGTGGGGGTGTGTGCGTGTATTTGTGGCAAGTTGTTTGGCGCTGCTGCGGTGCGTTATGAAATGCATTTATTATAAATGGATTTAGGATTCAATTCCCTGCACATAATCCTGTGCACATGCATATTACAAGTGCGCTAAGACAACGACAACGAGGACAGAGCAAACATAAGAGCTTCGGTCGCAAATGCACGAACAGGTGATACCATGTACTTATCAAATTAAACTCTAGCTAAACTTCGCTTTAATAAACAGACACTTAAGAACGAAATCTCTTGATACATGGGAAAGAGGGAAAGTTATCGATAGTATGAAATAAAGTTAACTATAAAATCGACTTATATAATAGGGTGCCTTCTATTGCCTGTTACATACATTCCCACCAAATCAAAATACCCAGTTTCGCGCATAATCAAACGCAACAGGGTATTAGGCAAAAGTGCTTAAGTGAATGCTTTAAGTGACTTTACACGCAACTTGCGCATACATTTGTGCGCACCAAACTAATCCCAAGCACGCATTTTCCATTTCCATTTGCAGTCACGGTCGATGTCGAGCAGCGAACTGGCCGACCATAGACGCCGCCATTGCCGCTTCCAGCAGCAGCAGATACACAGCCTGCAGCTGGCACAGCGCAGCCTGCGCCGGCAGGTGAACGAGCTAAAGTACCATCACATTGACGAACGGGTGCGCAGCATTGAGCTGGAGCAGCATCGCATCGCGAATGCCAATTTCAATTTGAGCCGTCAGATTGCGACGCTGGACAAGCTGCACACCTCGATGCTGGAGCTGCTGGAGGATGTCGAGGGGCTGCAGAGTAAAATGGACAAGAGCATACCAGAACTGCGCCACGAGATATCCAAGCTGGAGTTTGCCAATGCGCAAATCAGCTCCGAGCAGAATTTGGTGCGTGAGGAGAACAAAAATGCGGCACGCTCCCTGCAGGCCATGGCCGTAAGCGTCAGCGTGCTGCAGGACGAGCGTGAGGGTGTCAAGAAGCTTGTCAGCAATGTCGAGCAGCTGCAAACGAATGTGGATCGCATACAATCACTTGTTAACGACGAGCTGCACAATAAGGTAAGAAGTCACAACAGAAAATGGCAAATGCACATTGACGGCACTTTTCTCATATCACGCTTTAAAAATAGGACTGCAGCTTAACAGTATTTACTTATCGATACATTCAATAATGACCAGCCCTGCTTTTCGTATACCTTGCATAGAGTTAGCAAAATTTATCGTATCTGGCAATGCTATAGGAATGATCGATACATTTCCAACTGCCGATAAGAAAAAGTAGCTAAAAATAGCTAAATTAGCTTTCAGAACAGATATTGGCAATGAACAATGACAATGAACAAAAATTGGCTTAATCAATTTAAATTTAAGTCTTTCGCTTAATGCCCTCTAAAAAGTGCCAAGTTTAGCTAGAACACAGCTGAATTGGCAATACTGGAGTTGGTGATGTACATTTATAAATTTATCGGAACATCATGCGCTATGCGATAATTCTCACTCGATATTATATGAATCGATAACATCGCTTGACCATTGTTTAATTTTTTTAATTTTAAAGAATTGTCGCGCGAATCCCGATCTGCAAACATATTTAATTTGTTTTCTTTTCTCACCCACAGCTTTCACACCTCAACAAGCCGCACAAGCGTCCACATCATCAGAAGCCGCAGCAGCCGCAGGAATTGACAGATCTGAGAACGGATAATGAGCTGGCCGAAACGTTGGTGGCCGAATTGGAGAACGTTGAGGCCCAGTATGAGGCGATTGTGAATAAACTGCCGCAGGACTGCAGCGAGCTGTCAACGCAAGTGGATGGCCTGCACTTGATAGCGCCCGCCGGGCAGCATCATCCGCTGATGACGCACTGCAACGCGGATGGCTGGACGACAGTGCAGCGACGCTTTGATGGCAGTGCCGATTTCAATCGTTCCTGGGCGGATTATGCGCAGGGCTTTGGCACACCGGGCGGCGAGTATTGGATTGGCAATGAGCAGCTGCATCATCTGACGCTAAACAATTGCACCCAGCTGCGCGTGCACATGCAGGACATCTATGACAACAATTGGGTGGCTGAGTATAAGCATTTCTATATCTCATCCCGCTCGGATGGCTATAGGCTGCACATTGGCGAGTATAGTGGGAATGCATCCGATGCGCTCAACTATCAGCAGGGCATGCAATTCTCGGCAATTGACGATGATCGCGATATATCACAGACGCACTGTGCTGCTAACTATGAGGGTGGCTGGTGGTTCTCTCATTGCCAGCACGCCAATCTCAATGGGCGCTACAATCTCGGCCTGACTTGGTTTGATGCCGGCCGCAACGAATGGATTGCGGTCAGGTCAAGCCAAATGCTGGTCAAGCGGCGGCCCAGCGATGAGTGTGCGCCGAGCAATGGCAATGAGGCGCCTACAGGGGCGGCAGCAGCAACAACAATTAAATCAGCTTCTGCTGGCACGACACCAACAATAAAAACAATAACAACAACTGTCGTGCCGAGCACACGGCCAAACACTGTGGTGCAGTTCGTTGCCGCAGCGCAGGCGTAAGCCAACAGCTGCCGAAACCAGCTAAACAGCTACAGTGAACCACCAGAGCCATGCCTACTATAGTTTGGAGTGCGTGCGTGTGAAACGCGCAAAAAATAAAAATAAAACTTAAATATATATGTGTAAAAAAATATCATAAAGAAACTCGGCGAGCATAGCAAGGAGCAGAGCCGAGCAGAGCAGGCGGCAAGTTAGGGTAGTTGTGGTGCGTGTTTCTTTTGTAAATAGCTAAATTCTTGTCTAAGTTGTAGTTAATACTATTTCAATGGAGCTTATTAGCCTCGTCAAGAAAAAGGAAGGAAAACAAACAAAAGAGAAAGTGCTTAACAATAGAGTACACTAGGCGTATGCGTAATCTAGTTAATCTAGCTATAGAGAGTATCATCATGCAACTTGTCCATGGAAATATGCAACCCGTACATATTTGTTTTGTCTTTCAGCGGATCTCATAGAGGCATAAGTTCACGCAGCTCAAGTTTGATACAAAAATCAACATTCAAAAGCATTGAAAAACAAACTTAAAAAAAATAATGAAGTAAAGAAAACCCTCCTCTATTTGGGCAAATATCATGAGCAAAACAAATATAAGTGCGTGTATGTCTTGCAGTTATTTCCATAATAACATTAGCTCTAAGTCAAAAGCCAGTCTTTAGTGTAGGCATCTCAGACAAATAATAATATATACTTAAATGTCAAGACAGTCGCACACACAAAGCGAAAATTCTTCAAAATATTATTATTTCATTTTGATGCATTTTTATGAGAAACTTTGTGTGCTGTCTGTATGCTCTAGTGTTTACAATTTAAGCGTCCATATCAAGTACATTGTGTAGACTTGAAACAGTCATTAAGTATAGTCCTAATGGTAATTTAACAGTTGGTATTTGTAATTGTTGTATTATAAATGTTATCAGCTATCAGATCCTATTCATGCTTGCTTAGCTCCCAATTCAAAAGATTCAGCTTAACTCTCTCATTTTCAATAATGCAACAACCAACGTATATGCCAAAGATAACGAGAGCAAAAATAAAATCCCTCACAAAAAAACAAAAACAAAATAAATAAAAATAATAACAAAAACCAACTATTTTCTGCAGTTTTGCATATACCAAAAAATACAAATAAATACAAACATATATTATGGATAAAAATAATAATAAAAGTTGCAGCTAGCTTAAGTCCTGGTCAAGCAACAACTAAATATATATATACACATATAAATATATATGTCTGTAAGTATATATATATCTATATATACATATGTATACCTGTATACATTAATTTTATGTACGTTACATATTAAGCGACTCAAAAGAAGAAGAAAAATACTGGCCATAGCCAGCGTATTTTACAATAAATGAATTGATGTGAAATCTTTTCCCAGCAACGGGTTTTCTTTACGGCATTCGGCAACTGCAAAAACATCTTAACTCCCACTGTCTGGCAAACTGTTTTCTTAAGCAACGTTCGACTGGTTAAGAAAGAAAAACAACAAGTAAGAATTACTTTGCAAAGATTGAAGACAATTTAATACCCTAACAGGCATATTGATTAAACTGATTTGCCTTGAAATAAAAACATTTAAATCATGAGTTATACAATTTTTGAGCTTGTTTACTTGTCTGAACATAAAAGATCTTCATAGTCTACTGAGTATGATCAGATGTTTCTATTTTACATAAATCATTATCAGAGACCGAGCATTGTATTGTCAGCATAGAAAAGCTTTGATTTCTTGTAATTCCGATAAATGTGAACTTAATTTTCTATATTTTTTTACTTTAAATGTATATTTAATTTTATTATTTTGTTTAAATTTATATTTAATTTAAATAGAATGTATCGAGATTTGCCGTTTAAACTTTTATCAAAATCAAGTTCCATTAACCTTCTTTCAAATTAGGAATTCTACTCTTTAGGCAGACATTGTAGAAAATAAAAAAAAATTGTTCACACTTAATTATGCAATTTGTTTGTTTGTTTATTTTTTAATTAGTCAATAAGCTTTCTCCTCATTTGTTTCCTTTGTTCGAAAAAAACAAAGCGATTGAAAAAAGAAATTCCTGAAGCAAACACACTGTTCAAAGTTAATACACATTTGGTTCATCAACACATTTTCTATTCGAAAAAAATCTCGTATGTATATAAATATATGCGTAAAAATATATTTGCATGGCGGAAAAGTCCCTTCCAATGCTTGATACATGCTGCATTATAATACCTTCTGCAAGGGAATAAAAAATAAAAAAATAAAGACTCAACGTAAATCTTGGCATGTGAGCTACATGACAATGCACTGCTGCGGCTCTCAGAGTGTTGTCAATGACAACAACAACCATCAAAACCATGCTGAATGCGCAGATTTATGGCTGCATAGCACACACACACACATGTACAGAGGCACACAGGGAATCTGTTTGAAGTGTAGCATAAAAAATGCAGCCACACGACAACAACAAAAGCAGCCAAAACAACAAAATGCGAAATATGGCAACTGAGAAATCTGAAAGCCAAGCCCAGAACAATGGCCACAGCTGCCTTTGGTAGCTTTCCGCTGTTGATTCTATTGTTTTTTATTGGCCAGCATGCACTTAGCTTTGCCAGCCCAGTATAGTTTTAAAAAAAATCACAGCCATTTCGAGTCAAAGTGCAATTTGTAATTAACTTCCAGGTCGATTTGAAATGCTATCAAAAAAAAAAGCGTGCGCTAAAAAGTATGCTGAGTTTTTTGTCTGCCTTATATTCTGCTTAGTCAAGCAGTGCGTAAAGCAGTGTAAATTTTAAGCTGTGAATTTCCATAGCAAAATGCCAGCTGCCAGACTGTTTGATATATCTGGCTGAATGTCTGACTGTCTCACACTCTGTCTGTCTGTCTGGCAGTCTGTCTGTCTATCTGTCTATCTGTCTTATATGCATGGCAACCCCCGAAGCATAAGACATTTTCACACCAGAGCTGCAGCGAATCCTTCAAGCAAAAGCTCAGCTGCAATTTATCAAGCATGAGAGCACACACTTTAATAATGGAGGAGTGCGCATTTTTTATGCTGCTGCCGCCTGCAACTCCCCGTGCCCACAGCCTGATGCTGCTCGACTCTAATATTGAATACTTTTCAGCATTGACTCTTTGACTGGGTAAGCAATAAGGGCGTTTTGGGCGTGGCATGGCAGAAGTTAAAATGTCATTGTAGATTGACGCACTGATCCTTATTTATGCATTTATTTTGCTGACACTTTTGCCCTCAAAACTCCAGGCTAATGCAAGGCTGTCAAGCGCAAGGAAATATAAAAAATAAGAATATTGCATGGCAATTTTTATTTTATTTATTTATGTATTTTTTGTTGTTGCTTATTTTTGGAGCTTGACATTTATTTGCTGGCTGCGAAAACAAAAATAAATGTAAATAGCATTTGGCATTTGGGATGTGCTCGAGCGAGTCACACACACACACACACACACACACACACACTAAATGTGGCATTTATATACATTAGGAGATGCCATACATATACATTTTGTAACTTTACTTAGGTCAGTCAACAGTTGACAGCGTTTCTGCACCATTTAACCTAAGAACACCTTAGCGTAAAAAGTCAAATTTAGTGTGAACTGCCCCCAAAAAAAGAAAATAAAAATAAAATCAAAAGGAGCTGACCCCTAGCCCAAACCAGCCTTCCGTCTCGCTTCTTTTTTTTTTTATTTTATATATACGTATTTTTTTATACAAGTATTTACAAAGGCCGCCACCGCTTAAATAAGTAAAAGGAGCAGAAATAAAAACCGAAAGCTGCTGCTGTTGCACACACATTTAAAATGCAAATCTATTCATGGTTCTGCGGTCGTAAGCACCACGGAATCACGAGTCCGGGGCCCGGAGACCTGAGCGTTCGCACTTCCGGCAATTAACAATAAGCCACGCACAAGGTAGCTGAATTTTGTGAATAGCTACTTAAATTTGGAAGCTACATTATAGTTTTCTTTGACTTGAAGGTCTTCTTTATGCATAAATAGAAAGCTGGCTGTGGCATTGGAACAAACAGTGAGAACACAAGCTGCCTTCTATGGAAAATGCTATTCTTGTTTTTGATATAGATTTTGATAAGTTCAAAAATGCTTTCATTAGGTCGATTCAATAATTTAAATATTTTTAAAAATAATAAATATTTATAGTTAAATATTATACAAATTATACACTAATTATTTATACAATCCATCAAAATTAAACTATTATTGACCCCGAATTTGAGGCACTTTTCTCTGTTATATTCAATAAATTAAATTAAAAATATCATAATCATATTAGGCAATTTCGACATATGTCTATGAATGCAATTATTCAAATATATATTTTGGCACATTCGAATGCATATCAAATGCAGACAGTTCTAGTCGTATAGCAAACCCCAAAACCAAAAACCACGAGAATCAGATTCAACAATTCAAGCGAACTCAGCCAAAAATCGCTGTGCAATTTCAGCAGAATTATTTATGCACTTTTCAGCAATTTTTATGCAGTCTACTCAACGGGGCGTATGCGCAATTAATATGCAGACAAGTCTTTTATTAATTATCATAATGAAAGGCTTCCTTGCAATCGATGCGCATTCGCAGCTTTAAATAATAATTATCAGTTAAATTTGTGCCGAGCATTTAAAAACTGTAATAATGTAATTTTACACACTTTAATACACACACACAAGGTCATAAAAAAGCAGGCAACAATTTAATTAAAAAACATAATACGCCCTCAACATAGAAGCTCAACTCAACCCAACGACAACAACTAACAACAAACGCGAAGTAACAAAAAAAAATTGTTTCTATAAAGTTTTATGATTCTAATGTGGCGCACACAAATGACACGAAGAGCCGCAGGCAAAGAGCAAACGCTTGTTAGCTTTTCCTTTTAATCAGCTGGCAACGCGAGGTATATTTTTTTATAACCATGCGAAGGGTGCTATCATGTTGTCATGATGTATGTAACACTAAAGGGAATATCTTCGATCCAAAAGGTATATATGTTCAGGGTCAGTCTGGATCTGTAGAGAAAATTAAGCTATGTTCGTCGGTTCGTCCGTCTGTTTCTATGCCAACTAATCTGGCGGCACTTTGCATAGCTATTTCTGTTGCAGGTAGTATTTATATTAAAATGATATAGCTCCGTAAAAACAATCGGTAGCAAAGTCAGTTTTCGTACGGAAAATCTTGCTGTCCTTCGAGATATCTTGACCAAACTCAGCAAGCGCGCGCTTCTTCTAAAACATATGTCTCTACAAAACCGATTCCAGAAGTCGTACACAAGGGTATTTAATCTGCGGCCTGTTGAAAATATACCCGTTGATTCTTGTTTTCTTTCCCGTTTTTGTTTTCTCTGAATCGTACCGACAGCGTATGTGGTGTGCCCAGACCGTGCCCAGATCCTGTAGCGGCATTCCATGCCAAAGGGAATATGCTAATTTTAATTAGCCAAAAAATTTACATATGCTACGCACACTAGTCAAATAAAACGCACACACGGATACGTGCTTAAGCACTTAAGTAGATATCCTGTCGCAGGACTTTCGCTACAGCTCTGACAGCAACAGAACAAAGTTTCGACATGTCGCAATTTAGCCAATTATCATTATTATTATTGAGCAGGCGTGTGCGTCCATGACCTAATCCCACAGCGTATTAAATTCACTTCAAATATTTTAAACATTAAATACAATCGAATTTAGACATAAATAGAAAAGTGTTAATTGCATCAAGCTGGCTTTATAAACCTAATCGCATATAATTTTTGCATAGGGCTCAATAATAATTGCTATGTGCGATAATTGATAATAGGGAATATTCAATTCAATAAAGAAAGGGGAAACTTTTGTTGCAATTAATTATTTTAAAAAGCCAACACTTGATTGTATTATATAATAAAAGGTAAATTAAAAAGAAATGTTTAATAAAGGCATAAAGTGAAGTGCAATAGAAAAATAATTATATATATTACAGTTAATTGGCAACTGAAAGTGCAACCTTTAATAAATTAAAACCAGTTAAAAGTGCTACAAAAAATGTTTAATTAATTGACAAATTGATTTTAAATATTTTCCAGTAAACAAATATCACTATTAAATTTACCAATAAAATAATTAAAACTAAATAAATTAAGTTATTAAATTCAGAAAAACTCGCTGAAAACTCTGCTTATCTTAATGAGAAAATAAAGTTGCTAAATAATGAGAGTTGAACTTATCGCATTATATCCCTAGGAGCTTTAATGCGCATACAATGTGCAATTTATAAAATATTATTTAATGATTATTTAACGTATAAAAATATTCATTTGCACAACTGGCTAGAGTGAAAAATATAAATTAAATAAATTATAAAGCTGTAAAGGCGATTTAAATAATGTACACAAGTTATTCAAAATCTCTCTGGCAACCCTGCTAATTATATTCAGAAAAGAAAGTTGGAATTTGTTGAATGTTGTATATTTTGCATTAAGTATGCACTTTAAATCCCCAGGAAAATAAATGCACTCTAAGAGCTTTTATGACTTGTCCGAAAGCTTTAATTAAATGGCAATTAAATATAAATATATTTTTAAAATATTTAACCCAATCAAAATACTAGTTCGCACAATTGCCCAGAGTGAGGGATTCAGGAGCCTTAATACGTTTTAGAGTTTTATTACTTATTTAGAAATTTAAATAAATTAAATAATTTTTTATTCAACTATTAAGCTGTATAAACGAGTAAAATGATGTTAACATTTTATTACAAATCCCTCCTTAAGCTTTTGTATGGAATAAGCTTTTAATGGTAACACAAACAAGGCTTTAAGTTCGACTGCAGTTTAGTTAATTTTGCAAATCATTTTGACAAACATCTATTTTGTATAGTATTGCGAAACAAGTAACAAAAACAGGAGCAATATAATGTTTGAGCTAGATTTCCAACTAGACAGTTGAAATAGCTTTTCTTTAGCTCTTTTCCAACTGCGTAATTGTGCTTCTTGGCCATAGCTAGATCAGAAGTAGCATAATTCCCATAATACTTCTACATATATCTGTACTTCAAAATCAAAAGCACTTATTACTAGGTCAAAATAGTCCTTTACGTTCTTTGATCACAAAGCGGAAGAAGTAGAAAAAAGGAACTGGTCGGAATAAGCCAGCTTATACAAAAGCTAAAGTAATCTCGACTTGAATCTTAAAAGAGACCAAAAATTCACAATTGCTTTTCTGAAGGACCTTTGGCGTGAATGGAAAGTTGGTTTGGGAGGCACTCGCAATCCTCCAGACTGCAATGGGTACGCCCTTATTTTTCGGCTCGAGCTCTGTGTAAACGCTGCTAAAAGTCACATTGCATTCGAATGGAAAAAGCACAGAGTGTACGAACCCCAAAAGCCTTATTGTTTTCTGGTTTTTATCTACTCCAAGCCGTTATTTCACTTTTCTTGCAGAGTCTGAGGCTAAGGCAAGGCGATTATTGTTGCAAACTTGGTTGACAATTTGCGTCAAGCTGCAGGCAAAACTTGCCAGCCCAACTGACGGCCAAGCAGACCAAAAAAATAAAAGAGGAAGAAAAACGAAAAAAAAAAAAAAAAAAAACAAAACAGGCCAAGTAAAGTAGATGAAATGAAGCTGCAGGCAGCGGGCACCAGGCACCAGGCTGGGTAATAAGGCATCAGGCAAGCAAAAAGTGTACTGAAAATAAACAGTCGCATAGTCGGATAGTTGGATGGTCGCATGGTCGCATGCTCGGCTAGTTGGTTTCGAGTTGGATGCTGCAGAGTTTGTTAGCTGTCTGGACTGTGCGTGTATTGTGTCCTGGCGAGCTCAAACTTTTACCATGCTATAAAGACTTTGCATTTTATATACCCTGTAGCCAAAGAAATCGAGCATACAGTGAGGATGTTTGTTTATTACAAACAAGCACAGTTCAGTTTGGGGCTCGAATAAAATTCCCGTCTGTGAGCAGAGGATTGGGTTCAAAGCTTGGTTTCATCTATTTCATATGTTATATACACATTTAAACAATTAAATATTTATTTTGTGACTGCGCAATTTACTGAAAATATTGCAAGCAGTAGATGTTTTTATATTGCAGTTAATGCCAATATTTGATCTCAGTCCAAAATTGGCATAGTGCGATATATACAGTCGTTATGCGCCAAGTGATTTATGCTTTTGGTCTGAGTCTAGCTCAAAAGATTTTCATCCTAAGCCAAACCAATTTTGAAAAAGTTATTTTTCGATTGTTCTCGGCTTTTTTTGCGCACTTGGGTTTGGTTAAGTAAAAGATTCGTTTCTTACATACATATTAATTGGAAAATTTTTATGGAATTTTTTTTTTTTCTCTAATTTCTTAAATATATTTTCGGTCGCCTCATATGATGAATATTTCACTTTTTGGAATACCTGCCCCCTCCACTTATACAAAAATTCAGAAATAAAAGTATTTCATTTTTTGGGCAGTCTTCTTGAACACTTACACATTGATATGCTATATTAATATGAAATGCTATATTAATGATTTCTAAATTTCCGGCCGATGGGACTATAAAAACAAAACTTATTGATGAATTAATTTTACAAAGTCTGGTGCAGAGAGAAGAAGCACAGCCGCTGTATTTGTACAGTTTATTAACAGCATTTTAAAAGGTTAATAAAACAAAAAATATGCATTTAAATGCATTTTGATGTTTTCCTCAATATTTTGTTTAGATAACGATGTTTTAATGCGACTGCGACAACTCGTGGTTGGGCACAGGGTAACTTCTAGTCGGGCGCTCTCAAGCTTTAGCTATTGCTAACTTTTCTTTTTACTTATTAATGCTATATTTAAGTTGAATAATTTTACTTGCTTTGTTGCGGCTTTAGAATTAAATGCGCTTCGCCTGTGGCGGGTCAACGACAGCGAGTCTGGCCGAAAGGCGGTCGGCGGAAATTGTATATCCGTTAGAAAATTATCAATTTATGGTAAAATGAGCACTGATTGCAAATGCGCACGATATGCTGGCATGCGATAGGAATTGAAAAGTGCCATGCTTTGTGGCATTGCTAAATTGAAAATGAATCGAAATGAAAACCAAACTCAACCAAACCAAACCAAACCGATGCGAAGCACTGGAATGTCGCAGCCAAGGCGACAGTAAGCAAGCAGCTGGCAAAGGGGGCCATAATGAGCAAGTCAATATCATGGACAGTATGGCACAGCAAAATACAGACATATACAGCATATACACCCACACACACACTCTCACATCCACTCAGCAGCAGCAGCATCAGGCAATCGATGAGGTCCTGAGCGCACTCAAGTCCATGCGGCTTGGCTGCGTCTTGCCTCATGCAGCGTCGTGCGATAAAAAGCAGATTGCAATTTGTTTTACTGATTTCCATGCTTTTGGCTTTATTTGCTCGACGGAAACTTTCATTAACATCAAACAGCTATAGCTTTGGGCACGGCAGGAACAGGGCACAGTCCAAAGGAATATTCAAACAACTCGGAGCAGCCGCATCTTGTAATAAACACTTTCAGTAATGAACACATACATAACACATGATATTCCTGCAAATGGCATGATTAAGTAGCAACGGCCGTTGTTCATTAATGCAATTAGTTATAATTAATAAAGATCGAGCATGATGTAAATTGCACTGAAATCAAACTGCATCGGATACGATACCAAGCTATTAACTGAAAGTTTAAATACTGACAATGCCGAAGGAACAAGTTTTTTACTAGAGTGAAGGTTGGTAAATTAAATAGGTCTTAAGCTTTGTGAGCGGGTTTTATTAAAAGAGCTTACGCATACCGGGGAAATAAAAAGATTTTAAAAGCATTCTACTTCCAAATACCCTAAAGCATTTATATAGAATTTTTTAAAATTAGCTGGATAAATGTATAAACTCAAAGCGTAAAAAAACAGTAAGTAAAGTTAACTGCTGCATTTTATAAAGTAGAAATGTGAGTAGCTTACAATATCAACTATATAAACTAAGTGAGAACAATTGTGTGAACCTTTTGTCTTAAAGCTTTCTTAATGCTCTCAGTCATAACTGCTTAAGCTAAGAGAGCAAAATAAACCGACGTAGTTGAGCTCTTTAAGTGGATACTCTACCATTTATGTGCTTTCTGAAGCATTATGTTAATACTCAGTTGAAGCTGCACTTTACGGCTGGATGCCATTCCGTCATTGGCAGTGGGCAGTGGAAACCGCAAACACATCTAATTGGCCACAAGTTGATGTGCAAACATTTGCCACCTCGAAATTTGTGTAGGCAAACAGTTAAGGGAATCTGAACAATTTTATAAAATATGCACAGCGAGTGCAACTAATTACTACGGCAAATAATGGCCCGAAATGAGTTTTAAGTATCTCACATGCTCGTTTAGCAAACCGCAGGCATTCACAAACTGTGCTCTAACATTAACATTTACACTTGGCATTGGGCATAACAAAAGTCCTCGCACAAACAATAAATTTATGAGATCCCCTGCTTGACCCCTGAACCCTCTGCCATGCCACCTAATGCCTGACCCCTATGAAAGAAAGATGTCGAAATTGTGTAACTTTGTTTGTAAGTAATTTTAACAAATTTGCGAGACATTTGTGGCCTTTTGTGCAAATATTTAACCTATTTGGGCCACAACACGGCTGCCTTCCACATTATTCTGGTTGGCTTTTGTTGTGTATTGTGTGTGTGTGGGTGTGTTTTGCTGTGTGTGTGTGTGTTTGTCTCGACTTTTTGCGGCCAAAAAGGCCAATTAACTTAAATAATTAGCCAAAGTTTCTACAGTTGCGACAAAGTTGTTGTCCAAATTGGCCCAGGTTCCGGTCGAGCTGGCATTTCAGCACTAATGGCCACAAATTTCAATAAAATTTCATTGTTCTGCTGAGTTATATTGTGCTGGCATTTTAAAACTCAGTTAACATTGAACATTTTTTAAAAAACCAAGTATACTTTTAGATTTTTTCTTATAAATATAACTCAATTGTCATTTGAACAAGTCACAAGTGGCTTTATAATGGGCAACAAAACCTCAAAACCAGACAAAGTTATTAAGCAGGAAAAATCGGAAGACGATAAGCATAAGGATACGCACGTTATTTTTCGCTTCATCTATTGGGCAATTGTGTTCATCGTGCTGGGCCTGCTCATCACGGGCCTCTACTACACGCTCAAATCAGATTTTGGACAATGCTCATCGCATGATGTTAGATGCTATTGATGGAGTTTTGCATTACTACGTAAGTTAAGAATCTAATTTTAAAACCCTGCCCTAACTTTTTTCTGTTGTAATTAAGTTATTCTTGCAATGGACAATATTGTGCGAACTAAACGTCAACTAAGAATCCACTATATTTACTGGTCCGTGATCATGTGCCTGTTTATTTTATTTGTATTTATGTTATTTTATTTTATGGAGCAAAAACCCGTATACTGCACAGACTATGAAGTCGTTTGTGTGGAAGACGTAAGCCTTATATGTTTTGAATATTTAACTTCATTTATAATTATGTTTAAATTCGCAGAAACAATAATTTTCAAAATTTTTTACATGCCTAAAGACATGCTGCTTGGGACTGCCTGAGGTAGGTTGTTAAACGTAAGGTGAGGCATATTTACTATTTGTTAAGCCTTTTCTTAGTAAATGATCTTTTTCGAAACACATTTAACATTTGTCGCTTTTTGTGGTAAGTTTTAAAATATTACGTATGCGCCTTGGTAAATCTATTTTTTCTCCTTTTCATTGCAGCGTTTGTTTTTGAGTTTGACTTGAGAAAATGCTCAACAAAAAATAAATATATTACTTTTTACTTTAGCAAGCTGCCTGAGAAGACTACGCCGCCATTTGCAGACAATATGCTCGATGTTTACATATAATTAAGACAATTTGCTGATTGGCTGCCAAAAGTTGAGCACATGCGTTAAGAACTTGCTTAAACAGACGCCAGTTCAAACTACTCGACTGTTCAAAAACAAAAACTGCCTGCTCCATTAACAGGAAGTATATTCACATGATTTTCAACAATTTCTCACATGTACAGGCCGCTAGCACAGTGCCTGTTAGCAGTTGTCTGACATCGAATAAAATATGAAACCTGGTTTTTTCGTCTACCTTAGCATAACATATAATATGGCATATTTTATTAGGTTAGTTTATGTGTGAATAAAAGAAAAAAAAATATTGTTGACCTACTGCACGCATATTGAATGTTGAAAAAGCAGCTTTTGAAATTTATTGAAGCGCTGCCTTTTATGCAGCTCGCTCGTTGAATTGGCGATGCGCATTCATGAATACCCGAAGAGTGCAGTTTATGGCTGAATGCGTGTGAAGAAAGCGCATCGAAGCCATATACATATATATATATAAATAAATACAAATATATATGTTTTACATGAGGATTAAAGCTACAACAAACTGCAGCCTCTCTATATTAATTAAGGTTTTTACTTGGATTTGATGGGGTTTTTATTGCTGCTAGGTGTACCCTGTACACGTGAAATGAATCAAAAACGGGAGTTCTAGTTGCATGCATGTGTCGGGCAACAAAAGACAACTCTCAGCTTTTTCGATATAGATAACATATATATTCTCGATCAGCATTAAAAGCTTGCCTGTCTTTCGATTGTAAAGCATAAGCCTAAGGCCTTGATGCGCTAAAAATAATCGAAATCCGTACACTTGACAGATACAGGGTATACTTTAGCCGTGCACTTTGAGAGCATACCCTTTGCCGTTTTTTGCTGCTTTTGTTTTGTATGTTTTTATGCCCTGCCCAACAATAACGTTTTCACAGTCAACGCGTGAGTCACTTGTGGCCAAAAGTTTATCCAGACACACCCACACGCACACGCACACACACAAATACACATACGCACACACATACAAATAAAGTTGTAAATGCAAACAACAAACTGCATACTAATGATGTCTCTGTTGTGGTCTGCACTTTTGCGCTGTTAGCCCGCATAATTGGACCCGGCTGTGTGTGTGCTGTATGTGTGCTGTGTGTGTGCTGTGTGTGTATGGTGTGTGTGTGTATGTATTCCTTGCTGTTTATCGTATGATTTAAAACATGAAAGCGCACAATTCACATAGCTCTTTGGCTTAAATAGGCGTTTAATTTACAAATCTAATAACCACAAAGTAATTCTTGTATAAGCTTAAATTTAAGACCAAATGACACTTGTTTAATGTAAAAAGCTTAAAAAATCTTACAGAAATCTAAAATATTCTACAAATTTTTCAAAACTAAGAGTTTTTTTTATTAATTTTCAAACATATCTTAAACTTTTATGAAAACATACTTTTTATAAGCTGCATCCAAAAATTAAATCCAATTAAATTTGGATTAATCCAAATAAAAATATGAAATATATGTTAATATTTTAGTTTAATAGGAAAACTTTTAACTGAAATTCAGAGTAATTATTTTTAATTAGTAGTAGACATTTTCACGCTCACAGGCCCATTTAAAACACTTCATGAATACAAGCTCTTTTATAGCTTTAATGTGCTTTTTAGGTAGTTCAAACGCAAATAATTGATTGCAGTTACTCTGTTTAAAAATTCCCTTTGACATGACTAATCTAATATTAAATGCGCCTATTTCAGTCGGTATTTCAAGGTCAGGGTTCACCGTTGAGTACATGAAACTTGAGAGGAACGTCAAGTCAGAAATGAACTGATGAAAATATATGTGTGTTTTTATAACAAACTCTCATTGTTATTTCTTGGCTGTTGCTGACATTTTGCTGCACAGCAGGTGAAAAATAAATAAACTTTTAAATTTCTAACGTAGATTTATTGCCAGCGCTTGGTTAAAGTTTGACATGAGCTGGCATTGCGGTGGCTTCTATCCACACACACACACACACACACACACACACCCAAACACACACGCACACCATAAGCACTCGAGACTAATTGTAGTAGAGCTGTGTAAAGTGCCTTATGATTATTTGTAACGAAACTTACAGCAAGTAGCTTGTGGTTTGCAGACAGTAATTGGGATCCTAATTATTTTTTAATTGCGAAATGTACATTTCTTGCGGATGCATTAATTGGCTAAGATAAAAGCATTATCGATGCTCAGCTGGAAAATGCAAGCTTCATGTAAAGTCTGTTCACAATCTTTATGCTTAGCTAAGGTCCAAGCCACAAGAGAAGTCTCTGTGGGAAGGAACATAGGAACATGGACTTAGCCGCAATCCAAATTTAATCCAATGCTACACCTCTATGGGCCTGTATCGTAAACCTAGTTAATATCTCTTCAAGAAGCGCTAGATGGATATTATGTTCAATACATATATATATATATATATATATATGTACATTTATGTATTAATCGGACAATAGCATTGATAAGGCATGTCCAAGGCTGAGGCGCTACTTATGTTAGCAGGGCATGACAAAAATCAAAGGGCCTTAATAGGCATAGTCTGTCAATTGTGAAGTCTGGACGACATTCGGGTCAAAGGGACGGTCGCATTAGAATAGACTTTTGCAAGAATATTTGTTGAGGTCGCTTGTCAAGAGAAAGGGAAAGGCTGAGCGTGATGGACAAGTCAAGTATATTTTCGGGCATGTCCTTAGACGAAAGTCCTATAAATAAAGTTGTGCAGTTTATTAATTTGTAACAAGTAAACTCCATTAAACTCGTTAGAGATTTCACATATAAATTATAAGAATTAAGTCAGTTTCAGCTGAAATATACACACACCCACACACACCGCACACACACACACAAGCCATAAGATATGAAATCTATCTGCTTTCAATTACAAATTTGTCTGCAAATAATTGCAGGAAGCTGTGATAAGCAGTCGATTCGGCTCACTCCGCAGACTCGCTCCGTAACTATAATTGCAAGCGCAAAGGAATGCAGCTAACGAGTTTGGCCGAATGAGTAATATGAACTTATCAGAATTTACATAATTGAACTTTCCGACCTCCTTCCGACTGCCGCACACACATCTATATTTAATATACAATAACAATATTACAGCTACGAGCAGCTCTCCCACTGACTGACTACAGTAAATACCGTCTGAGCAGCAAGCATAGCTAAGCGGCTTACTTGCTGGTTGTTGTGGGACGCAAAATAGTTGTCGGTTATGTGGCGCAATTCCATTGTAACTTGACTGTGCGTGGGGCACAAATAGTTGATGTTGCAACCACAGGATGCTAATTAGGAATAAGTGAATACAAAGGAATGCGCGCCAACAAGTTTTAAGCCCAACATGCAGCTTGCAGCTTACCACATGAAACTTCAGTTTTCAACTATGCTATATGCTGCTTTTTACACCCTTTACTTATAGAAAATGAATAAAAACGAATGGTATGATAGTTTGTATTTTGCAAATTTATGCCGCTGGTAGAAGAAAGCTTTTTGAAACCAATAAAAATAAATATATATATACAAATTATATATTAAACTTTATATAATTTTTGTACTATATGTCGTAGGTCCTATTAATTATTGATTTTATTATAATTCTGTTGGAACGGCAACAATTGTGTGTTAATAATACACAAAGAATTAGGCAGAAAAGCATAGTGTGAGACAAAGAAGATAGTCTCTGCCGAGTATGTCCCGAGTGTGTTGTGTAGCTCAGTTCAGTGTTAAGTGCTCACCAACAATACTGAAAGACAGAGAAGAATCTAGAATGAGAAGAGCTCGTATAATGCGCTTGTGGACGAGGAAACTCTTCACTTTTTCGAACTTGCACATTAAGAGGACGCTGGGTTAAGACAACGACACTCGGGACTTTCTGTGCTGCCAGTAGGATTAATTACAAGGAAGATAAGTATTCTGCTCCAACATAAATATCTTTTATATTTATATTCTCTGATATTGTGAGAGCTACAGACAACAACTTAAGTATGTAGGTTCTAGGAAAAGGTAAGCTGATTCATACTAGTTCGCTATTTAAAAATCTCGGTTTTGAAAATTGAGGCCCAGCAATATGCATTAAATTCGGACTACAAAGACCTAGGCTATTGGCTATTGAAGGCTATTGAAGGCTATTGAAGCTGACGCTGATTGGAGGATGTCATCTAGTCGTGCATTCTTGACTAGCGCACTCTAACTAGCTTTTTTTGTTTTGTTAGCTTGGCAGGACCTTGTCTTGTTGCAGCAAAAGCTCAGGGCTAATTTTTTGTCGAACAATTTAACAGTATATTGACCTAATTGTTTCGGTCTTTCTTTATCTATCTCACTCTCTCTCTCTCTCTCTCTCTCTCTCTCTGTCTCCATCTCGTTCTCTTGCGTCCAAACTTGTCCTCAACTTGAGTCCATTTGGTAACTTAAGCCATGGCCACTTTGCACTAGCAGAAAAAAAAACCTGCTGACTAACGGATTTGGTTGACTTTGTAGGTATGAGCTGGGAGTCAGTTTGCCTGGTCAAATCCTTTGATTTGGGTTTCATTTGCTGAGCAATTGCCAGCTTGGAATCCTGCTCAGCACGTGCCCGTCTTCACTTTGATTATTTGGTATTTTGTGTGTATATTTTTTTTCCTTTTGCATTTGAAATTGTATTTAAAATCAACACGTTTTAAACAAAAGGCGTTGACGTGCACCAAAAGACCAACAAAACATTTGACATTAAGTATGTGAGATTTTCGTGTTTTCTCCCCTAACCAAGGGTATTGCGAAAATGTCATGCTGCATGTAACAGGGTTATAGCATTTCAGAGATTCTAGATGGATTTCAATTAATATATATATTTATATATATATATATATTTATTACCTTTTTATAAATAAAGCTGTCGTAAGATATTCTTCTCAGTTCGAATGTTAAACAGCTTCAGTTATTGCTGAGATATAGGATAATTTTCATAAGATATTATATCATAATATACTTTATCGAAAACTTTGGTATAATAACAATGCAAATCATCAGGTCTAAGTCTATATTATTTATATCCCAAAATTCATTTCTAAAATATAAAATTTGAATAAAACTTATAAGATTTGCAATAACAATACAAATTTATATAATATCAAATCACATTAAAGCATTTCATATGGTTAATATCAAAAACTCTTAAATATAACCATCAATAAAGAAAAGAAATATTTTTTTTCAACAGTTAGTTTACTGAATGATGTTTTTAGAACAAAACAA